ATATAAATGTCTATTACACCGTGTAATAAAGAACGCATTGGATGGTATATAAATGTCTATTACACCGTGTAATAAAGAACTCATTGGATGGTATATAAATGTCTATTACACCGTGTAATAAAGAACTCATTGGATTGTATATAAATGTCTATTACACCGTGTAATAAAGAACTCATTGGATGGTATATAAATGTCTATTACACCGTGTAATAAAGAACTCATTGGATTGTATATAAATGTCTATTACACCGTGTAATAAAGAACTCATTGGATTGTATATAGTAAATGATTCATTAATGAATCACGAAATTATGTATGAATCAAGATTGAATGTTTTATTTCCTAATCGTTGATCCTCAAGTTCTAAGTTTACATAAACTAGGCCCATCAAGAAAGGTTTTCTTCTTATTGACGCTCCTGTACATTTTTCATTTATGTTAGACCATCGTCAATGGGGAAACAACAAGGCTGTGACACATTGCAAAGGAGATTAAACAATTCATGACTTAATGTCTTTTTATTTCTTGTATTAGGTATACACAAAATGAAACCAATGAGCCGTCTGTGTAATGGCTAATCCATTTCCTGTTTTTCTTTCCGACAGAAGAAGCTTCTCGAGTACCACAACTTCGATTAAAAATACATTTTCTTCAACATTGAAGGCGAGATGGGCACAGGGTGGAGATGGGCATGTTTCATCCAACCTGTTACTAATCTTTCTTTTTCCATGTAATCCTGGTTGTTTTTCTGTGTAAAAACCGTCAATACAAGGTCTGCAGCGAAATCGTGGCTTTGCCAACAGGTGCTCGGAATCGGTTACAAATAACGCGGTGGCCATAACAAAGAACACAGTCGAAAATATCAACAGAGCAACCGAAAAACCAACAGAAACCGCCAACAAAGCAGATCTGTCTTGTAAGATGACTCAAGCTTAACAGTCCCCCCGGGAATTGTTTGTTTCTAGGTTGTTCTCCACAGACATCGAACTCCTTGACTCTGTAAAAGACAACTTTTAAGGTGAAGAATTGACCGCGTCTACACCGAATTCGCTAGACTGACCCCTATAACGGAATCCCTTTATACCTGCAGTGTTTGTTTTACACGGAGGTCAGATAGCTATTGACCGCTACCTTCTCTGTGAAATTAAAGAATGCCCCTCGTTTACATCAGGTTGTTCGGCTTGATTTTCACATTCCCCACACGAGGGCTTTAGTTAATGATAGGGTGCCGCGTGGCTGACATGAGACCGGTTTGACTCGATTCTAGGAAAACATCTAACATCCTGGACAAACAGTGAAAACAGTGCTTTCACAGGCTATCAATTACAGATGAGTGTCTGCGGCACTCGCTGTTCGCCACCCTGACATGACTTCCGCACCTGTCTACTTTAAACCAATTATACACAGGTAAAAAGCAATTACCTCCTTCAGGGAGATCTGTGTCTGTTTGGAAAAGGTTACAATACCCAAACAGCGGAGCTTCCAAGGCAGACAGATTTCGCTCTGATTTCGGAATAATTGCGAATATTTCACATTGTCTTTTATGTTGAGACAGTGAATGATTTTAATGCAGCTCTGGACAGTATTTCGATTGTATCGTGACGTGTAAGCTTAATGTGGGATGAACGTCCGAAGTGATGTGGGCGATTACGACTGAAGAAACCCAGGAATACGGGTATGGTGCTACCAGACCCAGCAGCATTGTCTCGAAGAATCGAGATTCAAACCCACGAGCATGGTTTTCTGTCATGCTTAAAGGACGCACGGCGCGTTGTTGTGTTTGAGACCACCTCAACACCTCCTTGTGTGGGTAATATAGCCGTGAGACCACCTCAACACCTCCTTGTGTGGGTAATATAGCCGTGAGACCACCTCAACACCTCCTTGTGTGGTAATATAGCCGTGAGACCACCTCAACACCTCCTTGTGTGGGTAATATAGCCGTGAGACCACCTCAACACCTCCTTGTGTGGGTAATATAGCCGTGAGACCACCTCAACACCTCCTTGTGTGGGTATATATAGCCCTTTTGTGTAGAGGAAGACATGGGTATTGGTGACGGTAGAGATGTGTGCAATATAATAGCGGGTCCGATACACCGACTCCACTTACTTTATATGAATAACTTGTAGATAGTGGAAGCACAGACCTCGGTGATGTTGCTGTTTGGGATTTGTCTCTTGAGTGAAACCTACGAAATAATGTATACACTGTAAATAAAATGTTCTGGACAAACGAGTGGTTGATATATTTAAATATATATAAAGACTCGTGCCACGCCGTCAGAGGGATGACAATCAGTCGACCAGTCACCACGCCTGACAATCAGGCCCAGTTGAGTTTCACACGATGCTGGGTACAAATTCTGTCCTGGACACAACTTGAAGAGGGAAGCGTCCGCTGTATCATCACAAACTCCCCAAACACGGGTGGCCCAGTGGTCTCAGTTACACCAGATTGTCGCTCAGAGTGAATGTACTGGGTTTGTCGTTACCATTCCTGTGAAATACACGACTTTGACCAGGGTTTTCCTCTCATATCGAGACATATGATGGTGCTTTCAACACACCAGTCATGGAACGTGAACAAGTCACTACACCTGTGACGATTCAAGATATGGCTGATATAAGGCCTTGGGCGAAACAGTACATTAGGCTAGGTATTCTAGAAAATATACTACCATGTCTCTCCAAGTTTCCTCATGGCATGAGGGGCGGTGGGGTAGCCTAGTGGTTAAAGCGTTGGCTCGTCACGCCGAAGACCCGGGTTCGATTCCCCACATGGGCACAATGTGTTAAGCCCATTTCTGGTGTCCCACGCCGTGATATTGCTGGAATATTGCTAATAGCGGCGTAAAAACTAAACTCAGTCATGGCATGATTCGTACACCCACTCAAAGGTGACTTCTCATGGCGGTAGACACGAAGGGTTATATTTATGTAGGGAATCGAACGCGGAACCAAAGCTTTAATCACAAGGCTACGCCCACCTCACTACTCCTGACCCAGCAACGTGCCAGAGAATCACCGTCGGTGGTTGACGTCAATATGGTTTAACTTGCTAATTTGAAGCTTATTGTGTCTTCACAACAAAGCTTGGATAATGAATGTTGGCGAGAGTTTCCTGTTGAAGGAGTTCCTGGTGTTACCTCATATTTATATTGGCAGCGATAATTAAGGTCTCGCCTCAGCACAAAGTTCGAAATATGAAAACATATAAACATATTGTACATAAGCAAATCAAAGAGGTATGTCATTCGTATGAGGATACAATTAACACTATTTCAAAACTGTGTAACTGAGGCATCCAATGATTCCGTATAGAACTTCCGATGTCACATATACATCCTTCAAGTTAGCGACTGAGTGATCATTGCTTAACCTTGTATCAGCAAGTTGGCAGCTATTACTACTATACCATGCGAACTTGGAGCACTGCATGCAGTATGGGTGAATGTGATGTATGTTTATACCAGGACATTTCTCAGCAGGTGCCCCCTCCGGCCTGAGGGTGGTCGTAATTCACTGTGTCATCGATATGGGCAAAAACCCACCAAGGCGTTTCCCAACCACATTTAGACACGGGATGCGGTATGTTTACACACTGGGCGCAAATGGTTGGAACAGTAGTCAAAAATAACTTTGGTGTATAAAGTTTTCACCCCCTGTACACGACCCTCACATGAGAAATACATGAAATCATTCTCTCAATCACAGACGGCATTAGTTTCTTTACGGAACTTTGTTTCGGAACGGTTTCTTCTGCAAGATGTATTTGTGAACTCATTTGGGACTACATCTTCTGCAAAGCAAATCTTGAATATCTAAATTGGGGAGGGGCGGTAGTGGTTAAAGCGTTGGACCCGGGTTTCTATTCCCCACATGGGACAATGTGTGAAGCCCATTTCTGGTGTCCCTCGCGTGATATAGAAGGAATATGGCTAAAAACGGCGTAAAACAATAATCACTCACTCTAAACTGGGGACACGTTGTTTACAAATGCCATGTATGTCATGTGAAGACCTCTGTGCCCTAAACATCTACACATGTAGCATATCTCCCTAGTGATGTCTGTTCAGGCTTCGTTTCCTCCTGTATATAGGTAGACATTTCTTTTCAGGCTTCTAATTGTCTTAGCTCTCTTTGACAATATGAACACGCTTTTTTCCACTGCACATTGTCATACGACAATGGGTTTTTTCACAAACCGTCCACAAGACAACGTTCAACAAACAACAACCGAGCTGTATGAATGTGTGACACATATAGTACTTTCAAGTTTGAAGAGTGCAGTATGATGAAAATAGTATTTTGAAAGGTGTGCATCATTGTAGGCAGTCGTATGTGGGGCATTTCCTGTCATGTCGTCATCTCACCTCACGAATGTGTTCGCAGTTTAAACATTAACACGAGTGTATTATTTGTGTTTGTTATGCTGCACTCTGGGATGAAGGACTTGATTTATACTACATGCAGTTTACAACCTGTCTTCATGTTTTTGAAATATGTTTGCATACCACAACACCGGCAAGTGGAATGTTAAACGCGACCTCTCCGAAAATACCCACCTGGAACAAATGAATGATCGCAATCTCATCGGTAGGATTCTTGGCTGTTAATGTATGCTTGAAACAGTGGCAAGGGATTTAGGTCATTTTAACACGAAAACTCGGCCTAACATCAACATTCTCTGGTCTATTAGAACCTGGTGAACAAAGATATGGATGAACGAGACGTCCGCGGCACGTCTTCACATGCTGCCTGCATGTAACATGGCTATACTGACTAGGCTGAAACTGGGGTTGGGTAGAAGGACCTTATTAAAAGAAACTGTAAATGTAGATACTTGGGATTACAGGACCCTGTTCAAACTTCCCCTCCTGTTTTCCTGTTGTGTGTTATGGTTTTGAAGTTTCTTGCCAGCACGTTGACCACGTTTATCCCGCTCCGTACAGCGGCACGGGCCGCCACTCATATACCTGGCACCCGAGAAAACAGGTGACGAAATTTTTAAACCGATCATCTGCGTCTCTTGTAAACAGACAGTGGACTTGTTGCCAAACTGGACGCGGTGCATCTGACAGCTATCTTACTCCGCCTCCTCGCGCTCTTCGGCCTATGGCTGGTGTCGTCTGCTAGCCAGTTTGAGCAGGCGACTCGAGCAAACACCACAAAAAAGGTGCCTCTGGCTTTCATTACCACACTGTTGACTAAAGAGTTTTGGCGGCCGCTGGCTTCATCGCAACCATTCTTTTTCTCAATGTCTCCCTAGATCTAGTCTCGGGGTCTGGACAAGGGTTAAGAGCAGACGACAGCCGCCTTGAGCGGTCCGTGTGCTTTAGGTTAGGCCTGGAGCGCCTGTGATCAGTGTGTTAAGGAGGGATATACGTTTACAGTGAAATGGCGGACTTAAATAAGGCAGTGTATGTGTTTTTACTTTTAATGATATATGGAAATACTTGTTCATACGGAGCAAGGCGGCGCACAAGGAACACTTCCCAAGTCCCCATGTACTTCAATGGGCATCCAGTGGGTGAGGCATCCTGAAAACTGTTCTCAATATTATATATGTGGGTTTGGTAAGCCTCGCTCACTCGCATGTCCTCATTATTCTGTGTGGTCTAATAAATATAAAAATTGTGTGCCTGCACTGTCAAGGTGGGATGATTGTAATAAGATCGACAAGCCTAGGTGGGGACAATATCCCATTTATACACCTCCTTCTAACAGGGTAAGGACTACAACAGAAAGTGTTACATTCCCTCCGCAAACGTCTCCGGCTACGTGGGATAGAACTACTGCATGGTGGCAGCGAACGTCAATACCATGGCAACAACGCACATCGCCATCTTGGAAACGTACAACGTCCCGATGGCGGCGACGGACAACACCGTGGCAGTGGACGACGTATAGGTGGCATACGACGACGATGCCATGGGAGACGACTACATACACTTGGCAAACACAAGAATGGAGAACCAACGCGCCATCATGGCGAACGAAAGCGCCCGAATGGCGAACGGAAGCACCCGAATGGAGAACAAAAGCACCCAAATGGAGAACAAAAGCACCCGAATGGAGAACAAAAGCACCCGAATGGAGAACAAAAGCTCCTGAAATGCACACAGATGCACCCGAATGGAGAACGAAAACTCCAATATGGCGGTCGAAAAAACCTGACTGGTGGACAAAGTCCCCCAGATGGAGAACGAGATACCCCCGATGGCAAACCACAACATTGTGGAGAACGACATCGACGACAACTACTTCTACTACAACAACAACCACAACTACAACACCAACTACAACCACTACCACAACCACAACTACACCGCCTACTACAGAACGGATATCTACAAAACCCATCTCTATACCTGATAGGAAACAAAGTTCTACAAAAATACCTAACTACAATGCAGGTATGTATGCATATGTATTTCAGTATTCATATCCATGGCGCACGTTTAAATAATTCATAAGTCTTAACCTAAATTATTTTAATAATACCTCCATATAGCTGGAATATTGCTGAGTGCGGATTTTAACAACAAAGCAACCAATCTTTAATAATGGGATCATGGAGTGATTGGAACAAAATCCTTCTTGTTAAATATAAGTTAAAATCAATCGCTGTTGAAACTATTGAACCATACCAAATGTATCCTGTGAATCAATTATTTGCTAGCTCTTGGTCCCACTACCATACCCAAAACTGTTGAACTTCCTACAACACATTCTTTCTTTATTAATTTTAAAATGAATATGATATTTTAATAAATTATACATTATAATGAATGTGACTCAAAATTTGATACTTCTTATTGCCTTGCAAATTTCCTGTTAATGGTCACGGTGAGCATAATTACCATTAGGATTCTTGGTTCAATACTATAACCTCGGAATAACGATTGTGGACATAAGGTTCCAGTGTTCTCCAAACAGCCCGATCTCTGATTATACAACCCACCCTTCAACGGTCCAGTTTCCCGAATCAGTCAAGGTAACACGATATCACTTCAACGATTCTTACTCTACTTAAATACATATTCTGACCATCACAACACTATGTACAAACTTCGTCTGTCCGTCCTTACACTTGTATACATATATTTACTTGATTTTCTGTGGACATAGTTCTCTCATCTCTAAATAAACCAGATTTTCTGGACACTTTCGAAGGCCAGTCGGACCATGGGAAATCTATAAACATTTAACAAATACCAATATTTATATAAGATAATCTGAAGGCGCAGATAGGAATTTTGTGATATGACGGTAGGCCTAACTCACATGTGTCGAAAAAATATACCACGTGGCATTGAATGTGAAGTGTCGCTACACTCGGACTTGTCGAAATTACGAAATTTGGCAAATGTTCTTCGATGTTGCATAACGTGCAGAGGTCAAACCAGAACACTAAACACAAAAACGTGTCTGCCTCGCGATCCTAACATGCTACAGTGCAAGCAAAATAAAACTAATTTGCTGAAGTCAAAGTTGGTTCTAACATTGCGGGGCAGGTAATGTGGAATCCGCCATGAAGTGGTTTGAACGCCGCGCCGTCAGTTTAGATGGCAAACAGAGGTTAATTTTCCTTTCTGATTGTTTTCATTGCAAAGTAAAGGACGCACCTGTGGGTAAGCACCTCTAAACTGAGGAATTATGGCATTTCGTTTCCCTTTCTCGGTGAATCTGTTCAGCAAATTTCGACTGTCATATCAAATAACAACTTTTTTAAGTGAAGGAAGCTAAGAGAGTTTAAGACGAGGAGACAGACATTATTCGGATGTAATACCTGTGTTATCGGCTCAGCTGTAAGACTTCATCGGACTATCATCAGATAGATATATAATGTCGACTTATTATAATTAATTATTGAACGTGTTTTATATGAAGTTAAGTAGATGAACAAAACACCCCACCTTGTCAACCCCGCACAGACATTCTCACAATATCATGTGTATATGTAACATTTGGGTATAGATGATATACCCCAAGTGGGGAGTCAAATTATGACTTCAGCACACAAAGCCTATCCTTCATTTTATTTGATTTATTAGATGCCCGAAGGGATTGATTATAATATCAATCACTGGATTGTCTGTCCAGACATCAGATCATTAACATGCCGTTGACATAGAGGATGTTGCAGATAGCTGAGAAAAACAAACAAACTATAACATCCACACATGTCCTGTAGTTTTTCATTTTTTGTAAACAGAATCAAGGCTGTGTTTCCAAAATAGTAACATAGTAGTTTCATCCCAACTCTATCACCCAGCATGCACCTGCTGTCCTTGTTAGGATTACCCGGATGGAGAGTGAGGCTAGAGATCCACAGCACTTGCAGAGGAACATGTAAAGTATAATTCTGTTAAGCACAAACCCAAGGCTAACACCTGACACATACGTGTCGTGTTTGACGGACACCATGTGTCATGTTTAAAACACCTGAAACCTTTAGCCTTTAATGAGTGTCCTTTCGTTGACAGGCTGAGAAACAGCAACATGGGAGGTGTAATCGACTGCACACACGAAACATCATGCATTAGATCTCTTTAAATCTTTAAAGTCTTAGGTTTTTACCACCGTGGCACTTTGTCCTTTAGCTGAAGGACATTATGTCATAATCGTTTACGGACGAAGAGCATCATGGTTCAGACTTCTCGAAAGTTTAGTTTGTAGCTTATGTCGTTTATCTGACAGATTAGGCAGCACTTATATTCCATAAGCTCGTCCGAACCACAGGTTTACGTGTAACAATCACTTATGTACACTATCAAGCGATAATAATGATGATATAACATGACTCCTTGACGCAGAGGGTGCTGAAGAACATGCCCTATGTTAGCGTACGTACAAACTATTATATTCTCAGCTTCCTTTAGAGGATACAATCTTTAAAAAGACCCATGCATATACTAGTACTTAGTCCAGCATGTTTCAATCGGTTAATGCATAATCCACTATGTTTTGTATCAATCAGAGAATATTTGACAGTAGCAATGTGCTTAAAACATAACAATCCATATCCAGTGCTGACAACTAACAACTTATAAATTACAGTCAACACAATTCTAATGTTACCTAAATTTGGTTCTACGTAATACTACAATTTCAACGCCTATCCGGTATACAAGTTAATCTAGCTATGATGTATACAGGACTAGCTCATATCAGTGTTTTGATGAGCATGTAGCAGGTTTGTCCAGGCCAGTGTTCCTTAATCTCTACACTGGGATTTTGCTTGAATATGTCTAAACTCTTTAACCTCTGACCAGCTACCTACATAATTCCACTTAAAGCCTGGATGAAATTAAATGTTCGTAACATGACACTTGGTACCTTTGAAACCGAAAACCTTAACGAAAGGAGGCGAGTTCGAGGTATGGTATGGTAATATGAATCTGATAGAATAATAGCAGGCTATAAATCCATCCCTATCAGACTACGTCACCATGGCTTTGAACGACATAGATGATTTAAAAACTAGAACAATTTGTTTAGCGAGTCTGACATTGCAGGAGACCTGCACTGACTTTCCGAGCGTGGGAATGTCGAAATAATGTAATGTTTGGTTTCTGATTTAGAGTTAAGACAAAAGATCTACCATATGTGTTCTGAGTTAATGTACTATATTGTGCAGCACAATGTGTCCACTTATTGGAAATCAGCCATGTAGTTTCATGCAAGAGCCATGGTGTCCCTGCTAACCCCAACAAAGGTCTGGGGATTTGTTACAGTCTACAGTCAGCCTATTGTTGATAAGGTCTGAGCACAATATTTGAAATCTTCCAGGCTAGTATTTGTTGCAAGCTTCAAGCGCAAATGTCATAGGAGAAACTTGGCAGCAAGACTAGGCCAAGACGTGAAGGCCGACCTGATAAAGGTCACGTTAAACTATCAAAACGTTACAATGTGCAACCTGGCATATTTTTATGCTGTCTCATTTGTGAAGGGTCCTTGCCATGCAGTTGATCGTTGGTTTTAAAGATAAAAGTGAGTTAGGAGCGTAGTCGAAATCCATTGTTTGAAGAAGTCATCTCTTAAACACGTTGTTTTAAAGATACATCTTTATTGATGGTACTTCACAGAGAGTGGCACATACGAGCCCAACGATGCTGCATTTTATATATATGCCTTTATTACACTTTGCTATCTTAAAAGTAAATGTTGGCATGCCTGTTTGTACCACTTTGGAAAAATATGAAATTTTGTTATCAAAATATCGAACATCTTAAGTTGCGCATTTCAAAATCATGCACATTTCATATGAAGCTAAATATGGCCAAAAGTAGTGAACAAGGAAGTTGTGAAAAAGGCGCTTGTCTTTGAACTCATTACAAGCGACAAGACCATAATCCTAAAAAATCCGACCAGAGTCTCTTGTAAGATTCCGACTATATTATAAGGACGCATGTCCCTATCCAAATAGCGATGAAACCATCTTTTCTTACAGTCCAAAGCATGTATATGTAGAAAAACCCCGAAATATTGAGACTTTGCTGATTTCCCACAATTTGCAGTTCCCGCGGGCCAGAGGATTGCTGCCATTTCTCTTCCCTTACTTAGTTTGACATACTTATACAGAGCTGCGTCTCGCTTGTTTTCCGTGCTAGTTTACTCCTTGAATCCTTCACACAACGACAGCGCATATCTAATGAAATGTAAGGCACCCCTTTGGCCAGAAGAAACATTACCGCACACAATCTCACTGCAAACTTTAAAATGGACATAGGTATTACAAGTGCATGGAAGTTTCTTCTGAAACAGAACATGTTCATTTGCCCGGAAACACATACATGTGTGCCCCCTCATTGCTTGTCCTCGGGTGTTTGTATAAACCTTTATGCAATTTGCGTCAGAGAGGCTTAAACCGGCAATGGAGCCTTAGCTCATTGCTTTATCCCTATCGCATGTCGACTTCCTTGCTAGAAGTATTTCAGTCTCGTCAATTGTTTCATCTTCGTCCAAGATTTCTGTTTGCTTTCGCACAGATACTGAACATTTTCAGATGAAGCTATTGATTTGCCTTGCCCCAAGTTCGCCAAATATTGCATAACTTGGCACCCGGTTCAGTCTGCCCAATGGCGTGTGGAAGGAAGCTATGTATTTGTTTATTCTGGTAATTACAAATCTGGAGAATTAATCCTTCAAAGGCCGCACAGGAAGTGCCCGAATATGCCTCTCCTTTTCGTGAGACTATGTTTCCTGTTGATTATGACTCTGTGAAACTATGGGCAACTAAATGTGCATTTGTGTGCATGTTTATTGACACCATATTTGTTGATGTTTGTTTCAGAACTGAAAACAAAGGCATTAGCACCCAAAATGTTCAAATGATCCGATTTTTGCTTTGAGGGATCATTGAATGTTTATTCATACGCAAAAGTGAGACAAAATATGTGGATAATGCAGT